CCCCTAGTGTACAAACTCAGTCTCCCCCAACCTCTGGGGCCTGGATGACTGACACCCCTCCTCCTGCCCCACCCATGTTGTTTCTTCTCAGCTGTAATTGATACCAAAATGTATCCCTGCTCACTTTGCAGTTAAAAGGAAACTGCGCCTGTTAGCGAGGGCCCTGATAACATCTTAGTTGAACTCTTGAGGAGATAGATTCCAGTTAGGTCATCCCCCCCCCCCCCCGCCCCCGCCCCCGCCCCCCGGCAGGCCACACTGGCGGCTGTGGAGCTCCTGGCTTTGAGGAGCTGTTTCCTGAGCAGTCCTCCCCCTACACCCCCCCACTAGAGGAAAGCACGACCCCAGGAGACACTGTCACCCTCCTATGGGAATGGTCGAGGTCAAATGTGGCCAGGAGGGGCCATCATGACCCCCGCCCACCTGTCCCTCCAAGGCAAAGTCACACAGGTGTCAGCGCTGCCTCTTGTGGATTTGCAGCGGGAGACCTGACTCTATACCCTTTCCTCTGGCTTTCAGCCACCGAAGTCCGAACCCCCAGGAACATCACCTGCCTGCCTCTCGGGTCAGCCCCACCCTAGCCTCCCTCCACCTCAGTGTCCCACAGGCCACTCCCCAAGGCTGCCCCACACACAGCTTTTCTGAAACAGTCTCAGCCAGTAGAGGAAGAACCAGACAGCCTGTTCCCTTGCCTCGCTCCATCCTCTCCAGAGCCCTCCATCCACCCGCCAGCCCCTACACTTGACCTCCTTGGAGTCCCCAGGGAGCAGCAGCCGCCTTCTATTCCCTGAGCCGTGTCCTCCCCTCTCCCGAGTGTCCTCCCCTCTCCCGAGTGTCCCCCCTCCTCTGGGCTCCAGGCTCCATCACAGTAGACTCCGTCTCCCTCCAGCCCCCACTGCCCAACCCTAGTTCCATGGTTTGTTGCATCCACAGGTTAGTTTCATCTGTGGGTTGTCTCCTGGCTCAATGGGGAGCCTCAGGCCCCTGGGCTCGGCACACCCCAAACATCGAATGGCAGAGAGGCGCCCCATTTCACACCCTATGCTCCAGGATGAGAAGGGTTTAGGACCCCTGTGTAAGAGCTGAAGGCAGTGGGGAAGGTGGGGGGAGGGAGGACCCCAAGGGATCATGCCCAGTAACACCCCTCCTTCTCTTGTTCCGCAGACGATCCAGCCTCGTCATCACCACCAAGATCTTCTGGGGAGGAAAGTAGGTACAACGGGCAGACCATGCCCCTGGCCGGGGGCCAGGTCTGCAGAGACCCCTGATTTAGGAGGCCCCTGGGGTTGAGGAGGGGGTAGTTATCCTGGGGAAACAGAGGCTGCACGGGGTCTGTCCTGGACCTCAGGAACCTCCTGGAGGACAGCACGTGGGCAGCACAGTTTCCTGTCTCCCGGTGCCGGAAGCAGGGGGTGGGCTGGCGTTTGTGCAGCCATCTGCCCTGGCTCGTGCCATCCCTATTGAGGGACGTCACGTTCCAGAAAAGCAGCTTTGTCTGAGTTGCCTTGTACTCGAACCTTGTTTCATTTTTATTTTTACTTTTCTGGGTTGGTTTGTTTCTGATTACAAAGGTAACATCCTAAAAATTTCTGGAAAACACAGAAAATTCATGAACTGCCCCAATCACTCCACCTTCCCTGGGCCACAGACCACTCCTGCCATCCTCCAGGAATCTGGCCCCATATTCTCTCTGGGGCTGGACAAAATGGGCTTCATAGGAACTAGAAATGGGATTCACTTTCAATTTTTAAAAACTCCAAGCCAGACAGAAGGGCAAATTGAAAAGCAGAAGCCTCCATCCCCCGCTGAGCCCCACCTCCCCAGGGTGGCGGGCAGGCAGCCCAGCTCTGCCAGGTCATCTCCACAAGCAAATCCGCATAGCCTCGTGGTTTTATCCCCGAAGTGGAATCAGACTACAAGTGGCATGAGCTGACCTACTTTTGCGTCATGAACATTTTCCCCCAAACCGCCCGCAATATCACACGTGCTGTCGCCTGCTTTTCAGAGCCGAGACGGAGAGGGGCCTTTCCAGGAAGCACATAATAGAAGGTGAGGGGGGCCCTGGCTCCACACAGCCCCCTAAACCCACGGCATCTTCCCGTGGATGCAAAAGTGAAGAAAGCACAGTGCCCCTCCCCCACCAATGCTACAGGCCCGGAGCCTGGGGACAGCCCGTGCTCTGGTTCACCCAGGCTCACATGGGGTGGACCCTCCGTGTCGTAAGGGAGGGGACAGGGGTATGGGTGGGCGGGGCCTGTGCTGCCCTGGGGTAGGCAGTGTTGTCCCTGAGAAGACACAGACAGGCCTGGGTTTCAATCTAGGCTAGGCCCTGTGCCCACCGGGTGACCCTGAGCAAGGGACATCACTTCCCCAGGCCTCTGTGGCAGCATCTGTAAAATGGGCATGGTAAGAATGCCCACATCTGGGGTTAGTGGAATTGGGAAGGACCCAGGTGAGGGTGTGTGTCAGACACAGCCTGGGCCTCAGCACACGGAGCACTGGGGTGGAGGTGCCAGGATGTCTCACTCATCCTGATTTGTATTATCTCCGTGCCTCTTCTCCCCACGTTTACTGTCGTCAAAGTAATACAGTCAATCCAGTGACAATCAAATGATTCGGAGGCCTTGCTGCCCGCCCCTCCCCGTCCCACAGCCCAGCACTTCCACTCTGCAGCTCTGCCCTGAGCCGCTGCGAAGTACTCATGCGTTTCGGGCCCCACTTGCCTTCGGTGCCATAGATGATCGACGCAGCTGTCCTCCGTGTCAGGTGGCCTGGCTCTCCCAGTTCCACCCGGGCCACCCTAGGAAGGGCCCCCTCCGTGCAGTCACAGGACATTGGGCCTGTGGACTCCACCCCACCCCCTTTGGGGTGTGCCCCCTCTTCTCTCATGGCTGTTCTCCACCTAGGTGGCCCGTGCCCACAGATGCGCCCTGCCGTCCACAGCTCCCGGTGCCAGGGGCCTCGTCCCTTTCATCTATTGCTCCCTGAGACACATGCACGCACGAGGGCCCAGGAATGTCTGTGAAGATGGTAACAGTCCTTCCCCACTCCTTCCCCCAGGTCTGAAAGCCTCCCTGGAGCGGCTGCAGTTGGAGTATGTGGACGTGGTGTTTGCCAACCGCCCGGACCCCAACACGCCCATGGAAGGTACGTTCTCCCCGGAAGCACTGACTGCCCGGGAGTCACGGTTCCAAAAAGAGCAGAAAGCTCTGCACCTGAGGCTCTGATGGCACCGCCGCAGGGCCCGCTGGGCACCCAGGCCTGGGGGTCTGGAGGGTGGGGCCTTCCCCGTGTGGGGAGGGGCGGGGGGGCGGGCCTGAGCTCAGCCCCTGCTCCACCCCTCACGTGCACCCCAGCGCCTCCGGGCTGAGTCCCATCCTTGCTCTGGGTCCGCGCCCATCCTGGCTTTGAGCCGTGTGCAGTGGTAGATAAGTCCCAGCATGATGACTCTGCAAGGGCCGCCTTCTTTTCCGTCCTTTCAATCATGGCCCACATTCTACTGGGAGGGTTTAGGGGATTTCTGCTCTGGGGGATGAACTGTTACTCAGAGGAGAAAAAAAAGACGTGCAGTGCTTTGAAAAGCGGTTTTGGTTTCTCAGGCGCTTGTTTATTCTTTGACTCCTGCCATCTCAGCCCCCACTATCTCCTCCAGCTTTCTGCTTCGGGCATCTTCTCATTTGTGCTTTGCTGCTTCAGGGACTTGGAAAATTCAGTTGTGTTCAAGTTACTTTTTCTTCATTTGTTAGTGTATATACCATGCACCTGTGTGTGTGTGTGCACGTGTGTGTGTGCACGTGTGTGTGTGGTTGGTTTTTTATCCAAACGAGTATTCTGCGAAAAGTGATTTGAGCCTCCGTCCCCGTGCCCTTTGTCAGACTGTGCCCCTCAACGTTCCCACAGCTGTGAACTCTGGTCTCTTTCCATCTTTCTTTTATCACCAGGGGATCCATTTAGTTCCTCCAAGTCAAGGACATTCATCATAGAAGGTACACAGTACCCTCGGCCCGACAACTGACCTCTGTGTCTGAGCTGCATTTTATGAGACAGTGCTTTTATTTACACGACTCTCTTCCCCCGCCCCCATGACTAAACTTCTCCATAAAATGCACCAAGGAGAAATAAGTGCCTTATGGGAACACCTTGCAAGTGAAGAAAAGCAAAGCGGCGCAGAGCCGCGCCGTCCCCCTGGTCCACGCTGTCACCTCATTCCTCCCCTACTCCTGTGCATGCATGCCCCTCCTCGCACTGCCTTGCATTGCCATGACCCGTGACCCGCGGGGCCTCCTCTTGACTTGGGGGTTGCTGTGATCCGCACCAGAAACCTTGACCCCAGATGGTCTGGGAGAGGGCTGGGGAGACCAGGTTCCCACAGGAGCAAACGCATCGGGGACCCCAGAAGTTTGGCCCCCGGCAGGTTTTATCTTCTCCACGTTTGCTAAGCTCCCACCTCAACCAAAAGTGAGGGCACCAGCAACCAGCTGCCCTGCCCCCAGTGGCGTGCAGTGCTCCAGTCCCCTGGGTGGGCTGGGCCACCTGTCACTCTCACCCCATGCCATGTAGCCAGAGCTCACCATTGAAATGCAGTTGTTTTCCTCCTGGAAAAATACCTACATGAGCTGGGGAAACTCTGAGCCCCGGGGCAGCCTCTGGCCATGCAGCGGTCTCTGCCCACCCCTAAGCCAAAGGACCCTGGGACCCCACCCCACCCACGAAGGGCAGGCCTTGGTATCCCTGGGAACTGGGCTGTGGTCCACAATGAAAGGGCTCCCGCCTGCCAACTGGCACTGCCACCTGACCCCTCCCATGTATTATTTGAGACGCAGCAGGAGATGCCATGGGTTTTGGCAGCAGCTGGAAGGATTTGGTCCTCACAGCATTAAATATTGAGGTGGACAGCTGTCCCTAATTGTCCCTGTTTCTGGCGTCACTGACACCAAGCTTGGGCAGAAGACCAAGGGCCACGCTCCTGTGCATGGGCTCCACGGCCAGCCTGCCACTGCCCAGGACCCCTTCCCTCTCAGGCCAGCGACAGGCTCGCACAGGCTCCCTGGCCCCCAGGCTCCCGGTGGACTCCCCTCTCTGCATGGAAGGGGTGTTAGGAGAGAGCTGTGCTCAAAGAAGCCAGGCTAGCGAACGGGGATGTCCTCTGCTTCCCTCTCTCTGGCATGTGGGCCTGAGCCTTGGCTGAAAAGAATTGGGCAGTCACACCGCATGGTCACAGGTCCCCCCAAGAGTGTTTCTAAAGAACCCAAGAAGGACGGCCAGGCTGGGAGCCCAGACGCAGGGTTCGGATGTGGGCAGGTTCCTTCCTGGGACCCTCAACCTTCCAACCAAGCGCTGCTCTTCACACCGAATAGTGTTGGCCGTTAAAGTGGTGGCCCACTGACAGCCCGAGGGGGGCGCTTCCCTGCCAGACCCCCTCCCTGGGATGCGCGGGGAAGAGCCCAGTCCCTGACCTTGGAAGGAAGGAGAGGACAGGGCTTGGCCTACAGGCGTGGAAACCAAGGTGTGATTTTTTTCAGAGGTCCTCGGCAAGCCCACAGAGGCCACCACCCCAGAAACCCCAGCTACCTTGGCTTTCTACTGAAAGAGGGGACCTCAGCCAAAGGGACACTCAGGGACCCAGGATGGATGGGAAGGGACACCCCAAAACAGAGGTGCCGCTCTCTGCCAGAGAAGGTTCCAGTGGTCCTGGGCCATTCCAAGGTGGAGCTCTCGGAACCAACCTGCATTCTCCTTCCTTCCATCCTTCCTTCCACCCCCACCATCTTCAGGGACCTCAGCTGTCCCATGTCAGTGGCCACTTTGGGAGAGATGGGGACTTTCAAGGAGTATTTGTTTTTAGAAACACTTGTACTTTAACTGAACTTCTGAGGCTGCCTTGGGCAGTCGAACTTGCAAGCATTGTATGGGACCTGAGAGAAATCTGATGGGGTAGCCCGTCACCCCGCAAAGCTAAGAGCCATTTAAAATTTTAAAATTTGAGGTCGAGTTCAATTTTAAAAACCACAATACCCCCCTGGGGCCAAAACAGCTTCGGGGGCGACGCTAACTGGCAGATTTTTATTTCTCAAAAAACTTTTTTTGAGTCCAAGGAAGAATCTATCACAGTGTAGATGGGGAGAGGGTCCCTTGCTGGATACTGGGCTGGTGTGAAAGTCGGGGCGTGGTCCACAGGGGGCTTTCCATGTCTACTGCTGGCTCTTCTGGACTCGAGGGGAGCTCCGCTCTGCAGCCCCCAACCCCTGGGACCACCCAGGGCCCCACACCCTGCCCTTTCTCCCAACAGATGTTATTATTACCTCTCCATTCAATTCTCCAGATCCCAGTGAGAGTCCGGAGTAGCCCCAAGTGGGAGACTAGAAATGGGCAGAAATTATGTTACTTCCTCTTGCCATCTGTCAATCTGATCGTAACCTTAATCCGTTTATCTGGTTCTTCCTGAGCGATCAGGGTCCCCCATTCTTCCCCAGACTAGAGAACACCCCCTGTTCTAGAGTCACATTCTTTGACCTCACCTTTCCTGCATCCCTCTAATCTGCCATAGAAACGTCTCAATCCATCCATAACCCATTTTTCAAAGATTCCATAAGACCTCTAACTATTTGGGAACATTGTTTTCAAGACCAGCTTCTTGGACAGAGGCTCACTTTTTTCTGTGGTCCCAGAAAACCCAGGCCGCCCCCAACTCCGGAGCCGGGATGTACACTGCTTGCAAGCCGTCCCGACAGCACCCTCCCCCTCCTCCTGGCGCCCGCCTGTATTTGCAGAATGTCCCCAGGCCAGGCCCCGTGCCCCCGGCCGCCCCCCCCCACCTGTGGTTTCCCCTTCTCTCGTGACAGAGACGGTGCGTGCCATGACACACGTCATTAACCAGGGGATGGCCATGTACTGGGGCACATCGCGCTGGAGCTCCATGGAGATCATGGTACGGTGACCTCTCGGTGTGCGTGTGTCCCCCAGCTGGGCTCCCAGCCCCAGCTCCATGGATGATGACTCCGGGGCTCTAGCAGGTTCAGTGCCGTTGGTCCCTAATGCACAGATAACTGGGTACTATGGGGAGGGACAGTATGGTGACATGTGGCAGTGATGTCCGCAGGCCTTGCAGACAGGGGTCTGGGCTTGAATCCCAGCACTGCGTGGCCCCAGATAGATGGCTTCACCTCTGTGAGCCTCAGTTTCCCCACCTGTAGAACAAGACTGCAAGGACAACCTACCCCGTCATGAGGCTGTTGTGAGGATTATCTGAGAGAACAGGTGTGAAGCTCTTAGTGGGGGTCCTGGAGCTCAGCCAGTGCTCAGCAGCGGTGACAGTGCCAGCCACCGTGCTGAGCTCTTGTGGTGTTCCAGGTGCCGTTAGATTTGAGGGTTTCATGTGGACTGACTCCCATTTAATCCTCACAATGCCCTATGAGGTAAGTGCTACTGTTATCCTGTTTTTCAGATGTGGACATTGAGGCACAGAGAGGTTAAGTAACACACCCAAGGTCACACAGCCCATGCCAAGATGGATGCTCAGGCCGTGCAGCTCAGAGCCTGGGCTTCCATCTCATAATCCATGATGTTTCCCCCTCACCTGCATTTTCAGGAAGGTATCCCCTTCCTTGTCATTTCCCTCCACGGGAGCCATCAGTAGCTGAGGGTGACAGATGTTTCATAATATTTCTGGGGTATCCCAGAAGGGTCGGCAGGGTGGCTTCTCAGAGGCAGGCAGCTGGTTGGTGGGGGGAGGGCAGAGGCCTGGGGACGGCGTCTTCGCAGGACTAGCTCTCAGGCTGGCGCCCTCACCCCTGCCTCCAGGCCTCCTCCCAACCTCAGCCTTTCCCATGCCCCACCCACCAGAATTTCCCACGTCCTGGCATCCCTGCTAGGGGGTTTCTCCTCTAGTGAGCCCCAGATTTCTGGTTCATCCAAAAAAAAAAAAAATTAAGCAGGATTTTCATTTCAAGTTACAGACAACTTTAGAAGCCCATGGTATCAATCGGCCTTTGGAGTTTGCGGCATTAATGATCATATGGCATTTTTCTGAAGCTGCCTGGACCCAGCACAGAGCTCACTGAGGTGTCAGGATCTCATCCCCACTTTACAGATGTGAAAGCTGAGTCTCAAGCTAAAGGGGAAAGGGCCTCTAGGGCTGGCAGACGGGCTTCCCCAGGAGCTCACACCCAGCCGGTCTGCAGAGTGGAGGCCTTGACCTCCAAGTCCCAGAAATGGGCTGATGCCGGCCACTTTCCCCTCCTGACCTAGTGTTTTCTGCCCCTGCCATCGTCCTGGGTCCAGGCCCTAGAGTGACAATCATAATAAAACCAGTAACAGGCAGGCACTGTCCTGAGGGCTGCCAACCCTGTTGGCTCATTTGACCCTCATGACAAATGGGGAAACTGAGGCACAGGGGGGTGAGCCCCTTACCCAAGGACACCCGGCCAGTAAGCGCCAGGACCCAAGCCTCACTACTGAGTTGTGCTTTCCCCCCAAATCCCTTCAGCCTTGGGATCCCACAACCCACTCACTTTTCTCCACTCGTGGAGGGGGGCCTAACAGGCTCCCAGGAAAGCTGAGAGGAGAGGGGAGGGGCAGGAGGGCCAGCCGTTCCTGGGGATGCCTTTGTGTCTTCTCCCTGCTGCCCCGGAGGCCCCTCAGAACCGCTGACCGGCAGGGACCCTCCATGCCCCTCTTTGCTTTTCCCAGGAGGCCTACTCCGTTGCCCGGCAGTTCAACTTGATCCCGCCCATCTGCGAGCAGGCAGAGTACCACATGTTCCAACGCGAAAAAGTGGAAGTGCAGCTTCCCGAGCTCTTCCACAAGATAGGTGGGCTCCCCTGCCCGGCCCCGCCCTCGCGCCTGCCCTCCAGGCCCCGCCCCCGCCCCGCCCCACCCTCTCCCTCGCTCCGCCTCCTCCCCGGCCCTGCCCCAACCCCACCCCAGATCCCCTCGCCCCGCCCCTCGACCCTGCCCTGTCACGCCCCCTTTCCCCTCGCCCCGCCCCTCCCCTCCTCGGGACCCTGGGTTTGACCTCGTCCGGCTTTCCTCTCCCAGGAGTGGGCGCCATGACCTGGTCCCCTCTGGCCTGTGGTATCGTGTCCGGAAAGTACGACAGTGGCATCCCGCCCTACTCGAGAGCCTCCTTGAAGGTGAAGAAGCGGCCGTGCTGGGGCAGGGGACAGGCAGGACGGGCATTTTGGAGGGGTGGGGCCTTTGGGCTGACACGTTGGTGCTGGGCGGGGCTTCCCTGGGCCACTGTCTGCGGGAAGGTTCGGAGCATGGGAACTTGGAGCCCCAGCTGGCCTGACCCCACGTCTAGAAAGGCTGCCCTCCTGTGGGACATCCCCCAGGTGAAGAAGCCCCTCACTCCCCCGCCCTCCTGCCCTCCCCCCAGGTTCAGCCCTCACAACCTGCTCTGGATCCGCATGTGCCCCCTGGGATGCCTCCTCCCCCTGTAGACACCCCGCACACTTTCTCTGGCCCATCCCTGAGACCTCTGGGCTGAGAGCTGCGGGGTGTCTTCAGTGTCACTCAGAGATGCCCCCCCGGGACAAGTCCCCCCCGGCCCACATACAGGCGTGCGCACACACGCGCACACACACCTCGGAGTGAGGACTCAGGAGGGTCTACAGGCTGCAGGGGTTGGGGGTCAAGGAGCAGGGAGAGAAAGGCCTGCCCAGGCCGGGGAAGAGCCAGTACTGGAGACCCCAGCACCAGATTCAAGAGCAGGATGGCCTGCCCCCCCACTCCTGCCCAGCCCCCAGCAAGCCTCCCTGAGGGCTCCCTGACTTTGCTGTGGGCACACCTCCTGGGCCGCCCAGCCTCCCAGGAGAAGGGAAGGTCGGCTTGTCCACCTCCTTGTCCAGGCTCAGGGGCCTGGCCTCAGCTCCCCGACAGCCCACAGGCTTCAGATGCAACGGTTCCCATCTTTCCAACTGCCCAGGTCTGGACCACAGCAGGACATGGTTAGGCCGGGGCCGGGGGGTGCCGCCGTGCCCCAAATCATCATTTTGTGCCATGCACACAGAGGTCCAGGTGACCTGCCCTCACCTGTGGGCTGTGCTGTGCCTCCACCCCACAACCAGGGCTACCAGTGGCTGAAGGACAAGATCCTGAGTGAGGAGGGCCGGCGCCAGCAGGCCAAGCTGAAGGAGCTGCAGGCCATCGCCGAGCGCCTGGGCTGCACCCTCCCCCAGCTGGCCATAGGTAAGAGGCTGGGGAGCAGGGTGGAGACCAGTGTCCCGGGGAGATGTCAGGAGTCCCTGAGTGCTCGGGCCACACCCCCTCCACCAGCCAGCTGTGGGTAACGGGCTCCCACATTCATGGAGAGGATGGGGGTGGGTCCCTGAGCACTTGGGCCATCTCTCCACTAGCGGTAGTTGGTGCCAGGGTCCCCCCAGCACTGCTGAGCCCCTGGTTTGCCATGCCGCTCCTGGGCACCCTCAGCCCCATGCCCAGGAGGCTGGCCTAGGCAGGGTCAGGGCAGAGCCAGAGAGGGCCCTGCCGTGGGTGGGCCTCCCTCACCTCTGGTCTTGCTGCCCCCCAGCCTGGTGCCTGAGGAACGAGGGGGTCAGCTCCGTGCTCCTGGGCGCTTCCAGCTCAGACCAGCTGATGGAGAATATTGGAGCAATACAGGTGAGTGGGGGCCGCCAGCCTTACAGGCCCTGGGCAGAGCTCAGGGTCTCAGCCAGTCACCTGTCCAGCACGTACTTATTGAGCACCTACTACATACCGGACACTGTTCAAGGCACCTGGGCTACAGCAGTGAACCACCAAAAAAGCCTTGCTCTCGAAGAGCTGGCTTTCTAGCTGGAACAGACGGAAAACACTAAATGCGAGAAATAAGATTAGAATATGTGTCGGAGGGTGATAAGGACTCTGGAAAAAGAAACCTGGAGCAAGGTCGGGGGTGTCCAGCAGGGATGGGGCGGGGGGGAGCCGTGGACCCAGGTTGAAGGGGGCCGTAGGGTAGCCTTGTTGACAAAGTGACTTGTGAGCAAAGGCTTGAAGGATGAGGAGTGGGCAGTGCAGATACTCAGGGGAAGAACGCTCCAGGCTGATGTGAAGGCGCAGGGTGGGCACGAGCCCAGGACAGCAGTGAGGCCAGAAGGCCGGGAGCAGAGGGGCAGGGGCGGGAGATGAGCTCGGCGTGGGGGCAGACCCATGGGCCACCGCATGCCCTCTGAGGACTTCCGCAATGGTCCAGTGAGATGGGAGCAGAGGAGGGGCAGGGTCCAACTTAGATTTTAAAAGGCTCCCTCTCGCTCTTTGGCTGCTGAGTGGAGGAAAAAGTTTGGGGAGCAGAAGGGAAACACGGAGATTGCTGGGAAGTGATGACAGTGTCGGGGCGAGGGATGGCCGTGGTGCAGATGGACAGCTGGTTGGATCATCTGGATGTTCTGGAAGATGGACCAACAGGACTGGCTGACAGACTGGATGTGAGGGTGCAGGATAGCAGGTCAGACAGCCCCTGGGGTTTGTCACCTGGAAGGGGGATGTTGCTGTTGGCTGAGGTCAAGACGGCTGGAAAAAGCAGTTTGGGGGTGTGGATCATCAGGTGTTCTGGTCCTGGAACCTGCATTTTATGCCGTCGCTGTCCTTCCATTTGAGGGGCAGAGCTTAGACCAGGGCAGGTTCCCTCTGCCCCAAACCTTCTGGAATACAAAAACAGCATGGCCCCCATCTGCTTCAGGAGCCGCATGCAATGAGAGCAGGACAGTCTGGGGCCAGCGGGCGGCTGGAAGAATGTCCCCCTGTTACAGAACTCAGGTTCAGCTGCTCGTCGCTCAAGAATCCGAATACTGAGACTTCCCTGGAGGTCCAGCGGTTAGGACTCTGCCCTTCCACTGCAGGGGGCACGGGCTCTATCCCTGGTTGGGGAACTAAGATCCCACACAAGCTGCATGGCGCGGCCAAAAAAAAGAAAAATCCAATACTGAGAGACAAGTGTTGGGTAAAAGGAAAGGTAGCTTTATTGAGGAAGCTGGTGATCCGGGGAGAAGGTGGACTCACGTCCCAAAGATCCAATTTCCCCGTGTTGATCAGGGGGCAAGAGCTTTTAAAGGGGAGTTTCGGGGTGCTTTATGGGCGGAGGGAGGAGGCTATGTACAGAGCAGCACAGTCAGCTCTGACGGTCATCTTGAAGTTGGTTGGTCCTGTGGTCATCTGAGCAGGGCCACCTGATTGTTTTAAGTACAGTTAATCTTCAACTCCAGGCTCAGTTTGTTCCCATTTCCCTGAGGCCAGTTCTTGGAATTGTGCAGGATGGAGCAGCTTATTTCATGGCTACAGTCTGGTCATCATGCGGTTACTTTTTACACCTGGTGGGGGTTTCAGTAGCTGCAAAACAGCTCAAAGGACATGGCTCAGAATATGACCTATAGCCCTTGCGCAGGGACTAAAAGCCCTTGACTTTGTTTAATGGCTAAACCATTCTTATTTTGTCCCGTTTGACTGCTTTTCTTTGCTTTTTCATTTTCTCATTTCTCCGATTAAATTTATTCTTGGGCTAAAGTTCTTCTACAGGTAAGAGGCAGGCGTAGGATGTTGTGGGGTGGAGGGGTGGAGCTGTGCTCCAGGAAGGCCCCATAGGGCCCTGCTCCGTTACACCCCACCTCACCTGCAGGCCAGGCCAGTCTTGGTGGTAGATTCTGAATAGCTCCCATCTTTGCACACAGGTCCTTCCAAAACTGTCGTCTTCCATTATCCACGAGATCGATAGCATTTTGGGCAATAAACCCTACAGCAAAAAGGACTACAGATCCTAAGAAGCCCCCGGCCGTTTGCCTGGACGGTTTCCGTTTCCCTCCTAGCCTCTCTGTTAGCTCGCTTAAGCTATTTTGAAGCCAAGTCGAGAGTGTGGTTTGCTTCAAAAACAAAACAACGCACCAAGATGTCACCGGGAAAAGACCGCAGAAGTCGCTGCCACACACTACCCGCTGCTTCGCAGGACCGCTGTCGGGTTCGTGTCAGGGAGTCGGCATTGATTCGAAGGCACTCGTGCGGTCCCACCCAAGCCTGCCGTCTCTGCTCCTCCTCCAGGAAACCACCATGTTTTCGCCCAGCCATGGGCCGTCTCAGAGACTCAAGTCCAGGCCAGGCCAAGACCAGCTGGGGCCTGGGGGCAGGCAGAGCCGGCCTCTCCTCTGCCGAGAACCCCACCCGGCATTGGGGAAGGGAAGAGGAAGCCGGGTCTGCCTCTTCCTGTGGCCCCTCGGCGGGGCCCTGGTCAGGGCAGGCCTCCCTCTGGGGTCTCCCTCATTCCCCCTCTTGCCAAGGGCTCCAGGCACTTTCCTCAGGCCTAACCTCGGATTCTTCCCCCAGCCCCTTCTCCCAACCACCCGCCCCAGTGTGTCTCCGAGGGGCCTTCCGAGCTGCCCCTTGACACCCCCCCCCACCGGCCACCTTGCTGGCAGGGGCAGGGATCCAGGGAGATTCGCCCTGCAGTTTGGGACACACAAAAAGTTGGGGGGCTCTGATTTCAAGCTCCTCGCCCCACTGGCTTCCTCCCCGCAAACAATTGATGAGCCCCAGTGCCTGGGCTCCAGTCCAGGTCCCTCCAGGGCCCCACCTGCCCTCCCTCCCTGCCAGGCACCCAGTCCTCCACCCCTCTGTCCTCGCCCCAGAAGGCCCCGAGGTCACACGTGCTCAGCTGGACTGTGGCTGCTGACCACACACCAGGTAGCCAGCCTCTGCTGTGCCCGGGGGGTGGTGGCCTTGGGGTCTGCAGAGAGCACATGCTGGGACCCTTTCAACGAGGGAGAGTCCCTGGGGTTTTCTGTGCTGTGTGCCTGGGGCCTGGGGGCCAGCCAGCAGCAGCCCCTGCGGTCTAGGAAAAGACCCCGGGAGCCTCTCTGTGGAGCAGTGTCCCCTGTGAGGCCTCAGACCAGGTGGGTGGGGTGAGGTGCTCTGTCTTGGGTGCTCAGAGCTTGTTACCAGGACAGCAGTGCCACCCCCAGGACACCTCCACACAGCCCACGAAGACAGAGGGATGGCTGGGGTCGGTCATTACTGTCCACACCAGCCCCCCCTCCCCCCAAGCCTGGAACAGACTGGGGACAGGGAGGGAGGGCGGGACATTCACAAGTGTCAGCCCTTTTGTAGCCGGGCCTGGGGCTGCAGGGATGGAGGCGGGGAGGCGGGCCGGCCGCCAGGAGGCGCAGCCCCCATAGGCCTGAGCGGCACCCAGCCTTTGCTGGCCGTGGTGGGTGGGAGTTGGGGGCCAGGCTCTGCAGACGCCCCAGCCCACCGAATACGGGCCCTCGTGCCCTTGGGCAGACACAGCCCATCCCGCTTTGCCCTTCAGAGAGGCCCCTCCCTGCCATTATTCTCAGAGGGGCCGCTGTCCAGTCCTGGCTGAGCCGAGGCCTGGGAAACTGGCTTTAAGAAAGCCACAAAAGTGGGGGGAGGGAGACCTTCTTCCACTCCTGACCTTTGTGCTGGCCCTGGAGTCTGGAACCTTCTCCCTCTTTGTAGACCAGGCCCCTGGGGGTTGTCTTCACCAAGTCCCCTGCACACTTCAGCCGGTGGGTGTGGGGAGGGGACAAGCCTGTCCCAGCAGAATCCCCAGCCACTGCCCACCATCAGACGGTGGGATCTGGCTCTGAGGACAGGACACTGCAGTGGGGCGGCTTTCATCCCAGGCCCATCCAGGCAGGGACCAAGTGCTCTGGGCCAGGCAGTCCCAGCAGCTGTCCGTGCTCAGGGGCCAGGTTACCAGCCGCTCATTGGCGAGATGGCTGGGCCCTCTCCACACTGCTGTCACCCTGCCCACCCACTGCTGGAAGAGGGACCAGGGCGTGCAGTCGGGGCCGAGGTCGGGACTGCCACCTCCCCACCCCGTGAGCCACACCTAGGAAGGCCGAGCCCGCTGGCTGCATGTTTCCCAGACGGAGGGAGACAAGGGCCCCCAGGGTTGAGCTCTACCAAGGCCTAAGTGCCCAGCGCAAAGACCCAAGCAGCTTCCCGGCCCTGGGGCACCATCCACGGCCTGGTTCTGTATCCCCGCTGCAAGTGGGTGTGGGGGGATGCCACCCTGCTTCCTGAGGGAGGGTCCCCCGGCTTCGGGGGTGCTGGAGTGGGGCCCAAGGGCGGTCAGAGCCTGGAAACAGAAGAGCTGGGCCGAGGCAGGCCCTGGAGGGGCAGCCTGGGCCCCGCCTGGCACGGGTTTCAGACCAGCCAGCCGCACCCTACCTGCTTGAGGGGAAGCCCGCCAAGAGCCCCAGCTGCCAGCCAGCCTCTCACCCTCCCCTTGAAGCAGAGTTTTTGCCCCCAGGGGTCCACCTGGCAGTGCCCCACACGGGAAGAAGGCCCAGTCTGGGTCAGGGCAGGACCAGTCTTCCTTGCTAACGACACACAGAGCCCCCAGCATTTTTCACCCTGAATCTACGGCAAATTCGAGGTCCCGAGGACGAGATGGGGGCTTGCTCTGTCTTCTGTTCTCTCCAGTCATGTAAATAATGTGCTACTTTTCTCTCCCCGCCTTTAATGACTGTGGCTCCTCAGCTAACTGCATCCCCTACACAGGCAGAGATGCCATATGCCTCGCACTTCCAAATGACACTCAGTGGAGACGCAGTGCCGTATTTATGGAATGACAAAATAAAACCCAAGCCCATCAGGGTCTGCTCCCCTCCTTTGCGGGGTCCTCGGGGTCAGGGCTGGGCCAAGGGCAGTGGGAGGGAGAGGAGGCTGCCCCCTGCAGAGGCCAGCCGACAGGGGCTGAGCAGAGGTTGGGAGAAAGGGGCCCTGGGGGAGAGGCAAAGATTGGGCACCGAGACCCCTTCTCTCCCGAGTGATTCAGGGGTGGAAGTTGGTGGGAGGCTGCTGGACCCGCCTGGGGACAGAGGTCAGGGTCCAGGGAGGCCTGTGGGCTGTCTCCGGGGGCTCAGTGTTCCTCTGAGCAGTGCTGTTTCAGGGGGCAGGTGGGAGGGGCGGGCACCACCCCTGAACACCCCTTTTCGGGGCGCCCCCTTCCCAGCGAGCCTTTCAGCCTCATGGGGCCGTGTCTCCTCAGGTGGGAGGTGGCTTTAGATGACATCCCCCTCACATCCTTCCCCAGCCACCCCCATCCTAGATCAGTGAGAAGCTAGGAAAACACTCTTTGATCCAATCCTTTCCCAAAGGATTTATTAAAACACAGAAAACCAAGACATACACAGAGTACAAAGTAAAGGGAACCGGGTCGGTTACAGTCTTTGTCGAGCCTCCTACACATCCTCCCGAGGACCGGACAGGTGACTACACACAGGGGCTCAGCCTCCAGCTCCGGCTGCCTGGCTGGGACCGTCCCGACTCGCCCCAGCGCCCCGGCCCCTTCACCAGCTGGGGGCTCTACCAGGCAAGGGGCCGGCCCCTCTCAGCTGGGCCAGATGCCAGCCTGGGTGCAGGCGTCTGCTCCCTCGACCTCCCACGCACCGATGCACGGGCAGGGGGGTGGGCCCCTCCCCTCAACCCCAGGCACAGAGGAGCCATGGGAGGCTCAGGCTCCCAGCTCAGTATCAGGGGTTCAGGACACACACACACCCAACGGGCCCTTTCTGGGTTATCGCACCTAAAAAAATACTTTGTTTAAAAAAAATCTGAAAACTAAGAAAAAAATCCCAAAACACAAGCCAATGACTTTGGGCTGATGCACCACAACTGTAAACTTGCAGAAATATAAAATGGGGCGAGGGCCAGCTTCCTCGACAGAGACGGTGGCCGGCACAGGACAGCTGCAGGTACGGAGCGGGGACCCTGGACCGTGGCCGGGCCAAGACCTCAGCCCCCCACCCCCGCAGCCAAGCTCCTTCCTGCCACCCCACTCTGGGCACACTCCGGACGTCCCCGAGGCTACCCCTCAGCATCTACACGATCCCCTCGGGCCCTCAGCATTCCTGGGACCCGACACCTGGCAGCAAGGGCTACAGGTGTCCCTGGGGCAAGACTCAGCCAGCCCCTGACCTGGCCCAGGGGGTCCCCAGAGGACCCTGGGAAGGGACGCCCAACCAGCAGGAGAGGAGGTGGCTGCACGAGTCGTGGTACCAGCAGAACAGGACCATGGTCATCACTTGCAGAAAACAAAGGAGCTTCTTCTGAAGGCGGCTTGCAGGGAGGGCCCCCTTGCACAGGGGGTCTCAGGATGTGCTTCCGTGGTGGGCGTGTGCAAGGGGACCCCCGGACACAGTCAGTCCAGCCCAAACTCCCCTGGTCACCCAGGAGCCCAGCCAGCTACGCCTTCCAAGACTGTGGCCCCAAGATGGTTCAACAGAAAGCCTACTCAGCACTGGTCTAAATAATAAGGTGGCTGGAAATGAAAGCGCGGGTCGGCACTTTCGGCTTCTGCTTGCACATGATGACTCTCCTGCCCGCGGCAAAAACCAAACCCAGCCTGAAGATGCCGAAGACCGTGGATGGCCAGCGCCCCCTCCCCACCACTACAACTTTCGGCAGGAGATAACTTGATAAACCAAGAAGAAAACATTCTTAAGATCCTTTTTCCTCTCCAAAACCAGTCAGCCAGAAACCCACTCCCCAGCTGTCCGCAGCCCCCCCTCCCAGGCCTCCCAGGTGCTGGTCTTGGAGAGCTGAGCCCTTCCTGGACCAGGCAGTGCCGGGGCCCAGGCCATCCGTGGGCGCCTGGCTCTGGCTGGTAGAGGAAAAGGGCGGAGGCCTGGGAAGGAGCAAAAACAGAAGGGCAGAGGGAAGCTTGCTGGGGAGCAAGGGCTGGCAGGGGAAGGACCACCTGCCCTTGGAGTGAGGCAGTGGGGACAACACAGACCCCCGTCCTCTACCATGTGCCCCATGACCTGACATTCAGGACGCATCCACTGTGTTCCCCACCAGGCCAGAAAGCCTGGCAGGCTGACTGCCTGCTTGAGAGGGCGGAGTCACAGGGCCCCGTGTCGGGGGCTCCTGGCGGTCACGCTGCCCGTGACCTGAGCCAGAACCTCTGCAGGGGGGCACGGGTCAGAGGACCACGCGTGTACACATGGCACTGGACAAACCATAGGGGACAGGAATGACCCCACCCTTCCGGGAGGCGGGGTCAGCGGCTGTCACATGTGTTCTGGACATCTGTGCCCCCACCCCCAATCCTCCCACCCACAGTGCCAGGGTTGGCCAGCCTGGAGATGGCAGGGGCCTTGGGGGTCCAGCCCTCTAGGGGTTCAGGGAGAGCCATTTACAGTTGAGGACATCTGGGCTCTGGGAGGGCTGGCCAGTGGCCCTGTGTCCCCAAGACACCCCCAAATCCTCGCCCCAGTCCTGGCCAGGGAACAGAACAGAACTCCCCTGGTGCCTCCACCCCCAGGCCCAGCTTGTCTCTCTCTCAGACGGCATTCTGCACCCAGGGCTCCACGCCAGGAAGGCCCCTCCCTGCTCAAGGCTCGGAATTCCCTTCCAGGCTGGGCCAGAGGAAACATCAGACACAGACAGGCCCAGGCCCTGGCCCCGTCCCTCCCTTCCTCCAAACTGGGGCCATCCCAGCGCACTACCAGCTGCCTGAAGGAGGGTCAGGATTCCAGTGGGGCGTTGCTGGCAGGAAACAAGGCAGGAAGCTGGGGGTGCTCCAGCTGGGAAGACTGCAGAGGCCACTGGGGCCAGTCCCCTGCCTCCAAGCTTTCCCCAAGCCTTCCGAGAACACAGCGAGTGCATTCGTGGCCCACCCCAGATGGCAAATGCCCAGATCAAGGCCTCTCCAGGGACAAGAGGAGAGGGAGGGATAAGTCCAGGCTCCAGCGTGTGGCCTGGTTTCTCCACATCTGCGGCCAGGAGATGGCACGGGGAGTGTGTACCTGGAGGTGGGGCTCACAGGCCTCCCAGGGCACAGGGCAGGACCAGGGGCTCCTGGGCCCCCCTCAGCGCTGCTGTGACCCTCCCCGCTGGAACGCTAGCCACACCCCGCTAGAGGGAGGGCACGCCCCTTCCCACGGAGGCCTGAGACAAAGGCTCCGGCAGCCCCCAGGCCAACACCTGCAGGCTCTGCCCTCCCCTTCCCTCCGGGGAACAAGTGACCTGCCACTCAGGGCAGGGGCCACAGACCCTCCGCTGGTGACGACAGAGTCCAGGGCCTGTGAGACAGGCTGGGCCAGGGACAGACACCTGTCCCACGGAGACAGCACATACTTGGTGGTCTCCAGCCTTGCAGGAAGCAGCCTGGCCTGACCTGGGCGTCAGCCAGGTCTCTACCCTCAGGCCGGCCAGTTCCCCAGTCCTGACCCACCTGGCACCGGGGGGCCTCACGGGCAAGGGGCTGGAGCACGGTGCAGATGGGATTGGGGGATGGGGGCAGACTGAGGGCGCCCAGAGCGGGCAGCTGGCCCTCCTCAGCCGGGCCGAGTCCATGGGCGGCCTCTGGGCTCCCAGGAGCTTCCCTTCAGGTCTGGAACCCGTCGGCAGAGAGAGACATATGTGCTGCAAGTCAGACTCCTCCACACGTCACTCAACTTTTATCAAGACAAACTTGTTCAAGTCTTCAACAGGAAAGTGCAAAAGATGTACAAAGAAATGAAATCTCTTCTAGGAAGTCATCCTGGCAGAGGCGGCCGAGGGGTGCGTCCCGGGTGGCGTGGGGAGCACTTGGGTGGCACTTCTGGGCTCAGGCGGCCTTGTCCCCACGAGGTGGCATTCCTCCGTTTCCCTTTGTGTCCTCGGGTGGCGTGGCTCTAGAAAGGTGGCAGCTTTTCTCTCCTGCGGGGGTCGGGCAGGGGGCCCGGCAGGCGCGGCTGCAAGAGGCAGATCACAGGTCACACAGCTGGGTGCTCGGGTCCCCACGGGGGTGGCACCCAACACCCTAGACCACCCACTACGACCCGTCATAGCCAACTGACAGCAGGGGGTCCCCCAGCCCAGACCTCCCAGCCTCGGGCCACGGCCACACTGGGGAGTGGAGGCGGCGGGGCCCCCAAGGAGCAGCCTGTCCGGAACAGCCCTGCCCCCGAGCCTCCGCGCCGAAGCAGAGGTTCTGATCGGACACACAGCTTAGCGGGCGCTGTCAGCGGGGCAGAGGAGGCCACCGCGGACTGGTGGTTTCTCAGGACTAAAACCCTCTCCCAGCCGGTAACACTGAGCTGCACCCACGCTGAGCCACCCTCCTGGTCCTGGACAGGGGTTGCGGGGAGGTGACGTCCCAGGGCGTCCACCACCCGGCAGGAAAGCGCAGGCAGAACCGTGGAGTCAGGATTCCAGGCTGGGGGCACCGGTCCCTGACTCACCGCCGGGGTCACGCACGCACACCAACACACCGGCACACAGACGCACGCGTGTACACAGAGGAGCACGCCCACGTGCACCCACCCTGCCATGTGCTGTCCCCCCAGTCTCCCGGGGAAGCATCTGGAAGCCTAGGAAGACACACCGGCCCCAAGACGGTCCCCGAGCGTGGAGGGGCGAGGCCCCCGGGCCCCAGGGCCGTGAAGAAGCGCAGGGACCAGGGCCCGTACTGGCCTGGCCTGACTCGCCAAGCCAAGGAGGGACAAGGGATGGCGCAGCGCCCACGAGCGGCCTCACCTCCACTGGAAACGAGCCCGGCAGTAGAGGGAAATCTCGGGGACGGCTAGATATCTGTGGCAAAGAGAGGAAAGCTCGGCTTGCCTGGGGAGGCGGGGTGCCGGCTGGGGCCCCGCGGGCGCCCCTGCC